GAATTTATTTAATTCACGAGTTTCACAATTTGAGTTGAATTACTGAAATAAATGAACTTTTCCACGACATTCTAATTTATTGAGATGCACCTGTACATACACTACAAGTCAAAAAAATTATGAACAGTAAGAAAGATCCAATAAAAAAGATCAGCATTTATCTGAAATAAAAAGCTTTTGTAACATTATAGGCTACATATACCATTCAGAAGCTTAGAGTATTTTTTTCCCTTGGGAAATTATAGAAATTAATACTTTTGTTTAGCAAGGATGCTTTAAATTGATCAAAAGTGACGATACAGACATTTATAATATTACAAAAAATGTGTATTTCAGATAAATGCTGTTCTTCTGAACTTTTCATCAAAGAAACCTGAAAAAAATATACTCAGCTGTTTTCAACATAATAAAAAAAAATTTTTGAGCAGCAAATCAGAATATTTGAATGATTTCTGAAGGATCATGTGACTGGAGTTAAAATTCAGCTTTGAAATCGCAGAATAAATTAAATTTTAAAATATATTCTAATAGAAAACAGTTATTTAAAATAACATTTTGCTGTATTTTGGATCAAATAAATGCAGGCTTGGTGAGCAGAAGAAAATTCTTTAAAAACATTAAAAATCTTACTGTTCAAAAACTTTTGACTAGTATATATATCAGCCCGATCTCATGAAAGTGCGTATAAATAGTGCGCCAAATACAAACGAAATCTCGTGGTATTGATACGCAAAAAATTAACTTTGGCATGTATATGCTACGCGATGGGTAGGTTTAGGGTTGTGGAGTAGATGCGTATCATATGTACACGAAAACTGCATATCATATACACGGCAACAAATTTAGTATCATATGCATGCGAAAACTGCGTATTATATGCACGCCAAAAGTCAATTTTTGCGTATCAATGCCACGAGTTTTTGTTTTTATTTGACGTACTATTTGGCGTACTATTTCATGAGACCGGGCTCATATATATATATATATATATAATATACATATACACTGTATATATATTGAAGTGGTGGTGGGCCGCCTGGACCAAAAAATGCTAGGGCCGTTTTTTTTTGTCCCAGTCCAGCCCTGGTCCTACCAGTCATGACATTCCCTACTCTAGCTTATCATAAAAAATACAGTTGTTATCAAGGGAAAGTCTACATATAGTTCCCAATGAAAATATTGTATAGCATAAAACATGTTGAAGATTATCAAACAGGCTGTTGATTCATTAAATGATGAGCTATTTTCTAACAAAAACTGTTTATTCAGTATAGTGACGCCTCTCATCCATTGACGCTTTTTTGGCTAAATGTTGCAGGCTTGCCTTCCAGTGGCTTTGCTAATAACCAAAGGGAACTGAGGAAACAGGAACTAAAAACTAAATCCTTGGAACAGAAACTGACACCAATTCCTTATTTCTATAAATTATTTTGTAAATTGTTTTAAATTATATTATTTTCTATATTTTCTAAATAAC